CATTCATCCAGAGATCTTGGTTTTTGGCAGCATTTTCTAGCTCAGCTGGGTTTTATAGGCGTCTGGGACACCTTTTCTGACAGACTAGACACAGCCTGTCCATGCAGCCCTCTCTCTTTCTCTGCTGATTGTTATGGCTTCTCCCTGGATAAACATCAGAGCTGCCACTGACATCTGATTCACACATTTCAATTCTTTTTGCACCAGTGAGAATTCTGGTTGGGGAACAATAAATAAATGAAAATAAGTGAGGAAATAAGAGACAAAAAAATAGTGTGTGTGTGAGGGGATAGCTTCAATATCCTATATTTTACAAGTAAAGTTATAAATGCTGAGCTGACATTTACTCAAAGAATAATGAGGAGGTGAGTCTACATCTGGTACTGTCACTGACACTTGTGATTTAATTCAGCCAGGAGAAGGCCCAGCCAATCAGCACCTAGGTGTTACCAGACTTAGAATCCTGCTCAGTGTGTTGAGAATGTGGAAGTGAGAATTTAACTAAAGATAAACCTACAACTTCCTTGGTAAACACAGGGCTTTAAAAGCTGCCAGGCATCACCCTATCTGCTTATTATACTGGTGACAATATCTAGGAGCACTGCCACCATGAGAAAGGGGAATGAACCCTATACTTGGATCACTTCGGGGACATCTCAGTCCCAATGTTTTCTATGAGTGCCCTTTGAAGTATAAACACCTGACCACCTCCCGTCTGCGGAGGAAACTCAGGGAAATCCAACCTTAAACCAGTCTGAGAACAAGTTGTCTATTCCCCGCTTGTAAGGGGTTGTAGTGGATGTAGGTAGAAGATGGAAACCAGAGTCTTTTTGTAACCTAATCTTAGAAGTGACATCTCATCATTTTTGCCATATTCTGCTTGTTAGAAGTGAGTCATTGTTCCAGCCTACCTACCTTTGAGGGGAGGGGATTAAACCAAGGCATGAGTACCAGGAGGAAGGGATCATTGGAGGCTGCCTACCAGGTCTAGTAACATGATTAGACTTTAGAGATAAAGATGAAATCTTCAGGGCCTCCAGGCAAAAAGATGAAATAATTTCAGTGGCAACAGTGGAAAAACAATCTTAAGAAGCTTAAGGAAAGACAGTATGAACCAGGGAAATTATTTAGCAGCCAAGCTATCCTTCCAGTATCAAGGCTATTGACAAACACTCCTGAGTATGCAAGACCTCTGTATGGACTACCATACACAGGTGCTTTTCCTAAGGAACCTATTAAAGCAAGTATATTAGTCAGGGTTCTTCAGAGAAACAGAACCAATAGGATAGATACATAGAAAAAGATTTACTATAAGGAATTGGCTCACAGTTATGAAGGCTGAGAAGTCCCATTATCTGCTATTTGCAAGCTGGAAAGCCAGAGGTGTGATTCAGTCTGAGGTGAAAGAACTGAGAACCAAGAGCGCCTAGGGCAGGAGAAGTCCAATGTCCCAGCTCAAGCAATCAGGCAAAAAGGGTGGAGTTCTTTTTTTCTGCCTTTTTGTTCTAATCAGGCCCTCAACAGATTGGATGATGCTCACCTACATTGGGAAGGGAAAATTTCTTTACTGAGTCCACTGATTGAAATGCTAATTTCATCCAGAAATACCTATAAATAATATTTAGCCAAATATCTGGCTTTGCCCTGTGATCCAGTCAAGTTGACACATAAAATTACCCATCACAGCAGGGGTCAGCAAACTGGCCATGAACCAAATCCAGCCTACCATATGTTTTTGTGAATAAAATTTTGTTGGAACATAGCCACATCCAGTCATTTATGGCATCTATGGCTGCCTTTGCACTACAGCAGCTAAAGGAGTAATTTCAACAGATTTCCACAAAGCCTAAAATATTTACTATCAGGTTCATTATTTAAAAAGCTCATCTATTCTTGTACTAGAGGATAAGCTTCATGCAATAAAGGTGATTGAGGAAACTTTGGTAAAAGGACTGGTGGTATTTTCTATATTTAATTGTAGAGCCAAGGCTAAAATAAGGGTGGGTTTATGAGTATAAGAATGATATATAAACATGTTATGAAAAAGTAGAAAGACTACAACTCAAAATAGGAAGACGAGGGAGGGAGGAAAGTAGAATAAGATTATATGTTGCCATAGACATAATGGGAGTCAAGGGATGCCTCTTAAACGATAAAAAGAGCGCGCGCAGGCATCGGCAAGCCAGGTCAAGGGTCAGCCAGGCAAGATGGCAGCCGTGACTTACTATTAGATTCTGGGTTGGAGCTGCATGGTGGCACTGAGCCTGCCGCAGGGTACATGGAAGACTTTGCCAACTGGAGAGGTCACACACACTGGCCAGGTTTGTGATGTTAGTGACACAGGAAAATTTGAATTGTAGGTCATCAGAAAGAGGTGAGTGAAAATTGTGCCTTTGATCTGACAAGAGCAATCCTTGAGTGAAGTTGAGAGTTTGATAGCATGTAATGGTAGTGGGGTGTCTGGCCATGTGAAAGTGTGTATAAACTTGAACAAAGAAACAAAAACTGGGATGTGCAGTTATTGTGGACTCCAGTTCAGTAAACACCATCACTAGAGTGAATCGTGCACCTTGGGTCTTAGGATCCTTTGGATGTATATTAAATACTACTCACTGGTAACAGAGAATATACCTTTTTAAGTGTGAACATTCCTGAAAAGTGATCATATGTTAGGATTCAGAGAAGACATTGATAGGTTTCATCAAAGTGAAATATTACTGACAGTTTTGGTACACAGTATAATAAAGCTAAAAATTAAAAACAGAAATAAAAACAAAAAACGGCACTCCGCCTGGAAATTAAAAAAAATTTCTACCAACCTCTTGGGTTAAAAGGGAAATGTAAACAGGTTACAGAATTTCTGAAAAATGATAGTGAAAAGACTATAATTCAAGAGTGTATTACTTCTCTATATAAGAAGCAATTTTCAGAAAAAAATTCATAGCCCTGAACACCTATAACAAGTAAAATTAAAAAATGAAAATATATTGATTCCCAATTCAAAAATCTAGAAGAAAAACCAATAAAATACACCAAAAGGATGCACAAAAATATAATAAAGATAAATGCAGAAATTAACGAGGTTGAAAACAGAAAAATGGTAGATGAAATCCATTAATCAACATTCTGGTTCTTTGGAAAAAATGTACAAAATAGACAGGCCACTAGCTAATTTAATCAAGGAGCTGTGAAGACAGAAGCAGAGTCAGAGGGAAGAGAGAGGAGGGGAGGGAAAGAGAGGAGGGGAGGGAAAGAGAGGAGGGGAGGGAAAGAGAGGAGGGGAGGCAGTATTTGAAAATGCTCCACCACTGGCTTTGAAGTTTGTAGGACTGAAAGGCCCACAATGCAGGCAGCCTCTAGACATTGGAAAAAACAGGAAATGGATTCTCCTTCAGCTTCAGAAGGAATGCAGCCCTTCTCTTGGGTATCTACCTAGAAGTGGAATTCCTGAGTCATGGTAACCTATATGTAACCTTGAGAAACTGCCAAACTGTTTTTCAAAGTGGCTGCACCATTTTACATTTCCACAAACAGTGTTTGAGGGTTCGAATTCCTCCACACCTTCACCAACGCTTGCTATTGTCTGTCTCTTTTTTTATTATATCCATCCTAGTGAGTGTGCTAATTTAAAATTCCTAGAAAAGTCACGTGCAATGGTGCCGGGGACCTTTAGAGTCCACTGAGGTTTAAGAACTCCAGAGTTTAAGTCCATGTTCAACCTTTTGGCCTTGCCTTCTCTTCACAACCCCACTTCATTACAAACATATACACGTATATTTCCACTTCATTGTATACAGTTCCTAATCTCTTGCATTTAACTCTTAATCCCTATTTTCAAAAGTATTGCATTAAGGATTAATGCTTCATATCAACTTTTGTCCTCCTATGAATTAGCAATAACCAATTTTCTGGGATTAATGTGAATTCAACCCAGGAAGTTAAATAACCAAAATGAAAATGAATGTTTGCATTCCAACTGCCCACAAAGAAAGCCAAATTAAAGCCCCTGCTAAACCAGTCAGTTCTGCTGTAATGCAGCATATATGTTCCTAAAAATCACTGCTCTGTGCAAAATTGCACAAAAACCACAGAGCTTATGTTAATAGAAGTAGGGGTACAACACCCAAACACTTCATCAGTGATACATTAAAAAAGAAGGAACATAGTAAAAACAGTAGCACATTTTTAAACATGCTAAATAGTCAGGAAATACATAAATACCACAATAAATGTGACAGGTTATCTTGAAAAAGACCTATAGGGTGCCTGTGGTAGTGGGTGTTGGAGGGGCTGCAGCTCTTGGGTTACTGTCAAGTGGAGGCAGGAAAGTGATTTGAAATCAGATGAAAAGTTGTAACTCCAGACGTGGACTAATGTGACTCCTAACATGTGTTGAACTGAGGTAGCTGGTAGATGTTTCAGGGGTGTGTGTCTTGTGTATTATGCGACAGGCACACTGCTGCTGGGTGTAGCTTCCTGTGTGCATCTAATGTTCCTTGCAGATCAAAATGCATACAAATAAATGGGAAAAGTGCATGTGCTCACATCATCCCCTCACATATCAATTGCACTGAAGCAAATACTCATTTTCAAAACAAGTGCTACAGATGAACTGTGTTTGCTAACCTGGCACCAGTGATAGTGGAGTGCTGTAAAAAAGCCTTTATCCTTCAATGGTATCCCAATCAAGTTTCAAGAAATGCTGACACTGAACTATGGTTGGTCAAAATAAAAACCAAAATGATTATACTTTAGGGTATTCATTGAAGAGATTTCTTTTCTCTGCCTGTCCATCTTGTAGTAAGTCAATTTTGTCTTGGGAGTTTCTGTGATCTACTAATGAAATAGTTGACAGGTGGAAGGCAAAACTCTAGTTAGTGAAAAGTTTCAAGTTCACTTTTACTTCTTCTAGGACTAGCAAAAGATACTCTTAATAACAAGTATTTAAAATTAGTTTGCAACAGAGAGAAACGCAATGAGAGAGGAACAAAGGATCCACCTTGTAAGTCATCAAAGTGCTTTATTTTGTAAAGCCCGGCTCATGACTGGAGTGTACTGTTAGCACTAAGAGATACAAGGCAAACTTCCTCACTCTGTCCAAATAGTTTATCGACAGAAATGAATGACAGAGACTGTTACAGACAAAAATAAAGCATTTTGTAAACTTCTAAAAGCATACACAGATTGGCCACAAAGGAAATAGTTACTCAAATAATGTATGTGTACCTTTTCTTTACTGCAGGGTCTCACTTGTAGTCTTGGGTCAAAGAAACTACAGTTTAACTTCAGAACACTGAAGGTGACTTGATGCCAGAAGGAAAGTGGGGCGGGGGGGTTGGGACCAAATCACAGTCTCAATTAATTCAAATGCATGAAATACAGATTCGGACAACCATGTCACAGGACTGTGAACATCATCTGCTGAGGATAACAAATCTATGTGACATTAGTAGATAATAGTAGGATGGTGTTGCTGCTGGCTTCCAAAGATACAGATTAGCTGTCACCTCGTGTTTTCTGAAGTAATCCCACATATATTGGGCACAATTACAGTCTTGATAAGCCCTGAAGTAAAGTTACTGGAAGAGGCAGTATGGCAGGGGGGTATTTGTTGAGTTATAAGTAATTATTGAAGGGTGAATTTTTTTTTTCTTTTCTGAAACTGCCTACAAAAATCGTCTCATGTTTTAAACAAAGAATTTCAAAGGCACAGCTTTAGCACAGTGTATAAGTTGATAACCTATTCTAAGCAAGTCTAATATTTCAGCTTGACGCCTTTCAGAAAATGCCAGAAAGTTGGTAAATACATGATCGATGTTGGAAATTTATAACTTGATTAAACACAATCAGCACAGTTTAGGGCAATGAACTTATATGACCAGATTTGGGTTAAGCATTTAAAAAAAAATCATTATGTTCATAAATGTACATCTGGAGGAAACAAAACAACCCTTTTCCTCTAATTGTAAAAGACTGCCTACCATGTACTTTGAATAAAATATTCACCCCAGAACATGACTGCAGGATACATTTCAAAATATGACAAACATTATTTCACCTACACTGTGAAATGACTTTACATGTAAACTTCAAAAATCACATGCTGTACATTAAATTTTTAGATTCAAAAATATCCCTGTTTTCCTAATAATGTAAACAGTAATATTGAGGGTTTCAGTTAAAGGGATAATTCATAACAAAATACCACTGTTTAAACAATGGTCAAACATAAACATCTTGTAATTCAGATTTGCAATCGGTAACAGGAGAATTGAGAGTTCTAATGCTTTGCTCACCTTCCCACCATGGGAGATGAAGATACCATTGCCCCAAACTATGCACTTTTCAGGTAAGCTTTATTTTTACTTTTTTTAGCATTAATTCCTATGTTGCAACATAAGAGTGTAACAGTGAAGAAGCTCCAGGCAAGAAAAGAGAAGTAAGCAGTTTTCCTGGATGTACTTACTGAGGTGAAAATGTACAGAGAGAATGACTAGGGGCATCAGCCTCTTGCTGGAGGAGGGGCCTTTGTCCCCGGACATTGGAAGTCCTGACACCATTTGGAGGCAGAACCCTGAACCAGGACACTCAGGAGATGCCAGCACTCCTCCATCCAGTGCCAGGGGCTGAGGGTACAACTATTAAGGAGTGTCAGTGTGTGTGGTAGGAGTGTAACATTCGTGGTTAAGTTTTTTTTCCCCTTAATCACCATCATTATTATTATCATCATTATTATCTTCATTATTATTATGAATACTGTCTCACATCTTTCAACTCCAAAAAATAAACTGATCCACAGTTTATCATGTGATGCCAGCATGGTTGGTCTGACATGCATTTCCTTTTCCCCTCCCCCCTGCAGGTGCTCATTCATTAATTCATTCATTCATACACAGCTGGAATCAGAGGGTCATTGCCCAAACACACTCTGAAGCTGATCAGTTTCCATTAATTAATTAATTAATTTTGAAGATTCGTGCGTACACACACACACACACACACACACACACACACACACACACACACATCAGAAATAGCTAAACAATACTGGGAAATATCAGGTAGCTGTTAAAGCAAGTAGCCCCCAAATCAGTCATCTTGGCCTGAAGATGTAAACGAGGAGGTATGCTTCACTGAGTTTGGTTTTCATTTTTCCTATGTGGAAGCCACCTCTGTCCTTCCCATGCTCATGTCTGTCCGAGGCTGTGCAGGAGGTTACGTCAAGATGTGGCCAATAAAGTCCAAAAAGCGCTTTGAATACTGTTCTGGGTTCACGGTCGAGATCTCTGCACCAGCCTGGGCCATTTTAAAGGAAAGGAATATTGATATAATTATTATTCATATCTAGCTGAATATAAAGCTAATCATTTCGAAATCTGTGCAGCCTCTGCTCTTAAAAGATAACTCAAAATATCTTGGATAGTGTGTCTGAATAATCAAGTTTCTTAGGGATCCGTGTGTGAAAATGAGGCAAAGAGTGGCAGGAACAACACATGCTATTATCACATACTAGCCACGTTTGGGATGTTCCTACCTAACAGTGGAATCGGTGTGGCCTACATTCAGAAGCCATGGGGACAACACTTGTGGTTTTCAAGGGAGCAGATTGGAGATACCTTGAGAATGACACACCATCAACATTTGGCTAAAGGGAAACTGATGCCAATGATGTAAGGGTTGTGTTCATTTTTCTGGACCAATGTAAGCAGTCAGTGCTCTAAAATAAGGTCAACAGCAGCAACAATAGGTTCCACGTCAGCTGCCTGGGCTCTTTCCAGCACCTGAACCAGATGCTGACTGCATTCCCCAGAGGGCAGGGGCTGGCTTCCACCAAGCACAGGGCATGGGGGTGCCACAGAGACCTGCTTGGAGCAGGGAAGCTGGACCCCTCAGTGGCTCAGGAGGGGCTTTCCTATTGTGAGAGGGGAGCCATCCCAAGAGAGCTACTAGCCAGTGTCCTGAGCTGCAAAGGGGAGACCAGAGTTTTACTAAGTCACCATGTGCTATTTTTAGACACCCATGCTTCCTGGGCAGCATGTCATCTCCATGCCTGGCGTGGGCCGCTGGGATCTCCATGGAGGAGCCCAGGCCTTGAGAATGGTTCCCAGCAGCAGCTCAACACAACATTCCTTCACTAAGAGTGATATCTTGTTCTTGCAAACTGCGCACAATTTTAGGCCATATGGTATATTACTGGGCTGAGCTGGTGACTTACTGGGGAGATGAAAATGGAGCCATGTCTGCTGTGGTACATTTT